TGAGGGAGAGAGGTCCGCCGGCAAAACCCAGTCCCGCGGTTGCTCCAACGCTCCACCCTCCGCCCCGCACCAAAACATTCCCTCCGGGAGCGGAGCCTCCGCCTCCGAGCCCGCCCCTCAGCCTCGCAAAGCCGAGTCGAAGTGCGCGCGGCGCTGCCCCGTCCCCGCTGCCCCGGGAGGCCGCGGCGCAGGTGAGGGGCCGGGCTGGCGAGGCACGGTCGTGCCCGGCTTTGCAGGGAGGTGTAGAGGAAAGAACCACAGCACACATCTGCTATAAGTTTTATTTACACAGGAATTGTTACTAGTGGTCTTAAAGGAAGGCTTGATCCTTCTATTTACAGTTATATACAGATTTATAGTTGAAAAGTAAGAAAACTGTACAAGATAACACAAAAATATAAGACAAATTGGATCCAATTAAAGTAGTGAATACATAAGTTAAGAAAAATCTGACATTTACATTTCAAATTGTAACGTTATGAGTAGCATATATGTCATTTTTAAACCAGATAGCAATGTAAGTTACACCACACTAAATCTTTACCCCAATCATGTAGACTCTGCTTTTAAAACATCGGACAACTGGAAGCCTCCTGCACTTAAAACTACATAACGGTAATTTTGACTTGATTTCCACAGAGGGACCAGTTACAAAAACCCACATGTAAGGAATTTATTTACATTAAATATTAGCAAAAATGGACCAAGAAAGTGCAAGTGTTCCCCACCTGCAGTGCTATCCATTTTAAATTTCCATCCCCTACAATCACAGGTTGTTGTATAGCATCTTCAAGAATAGGAAATGTTTGAAGTATCTGCCGTGACACACACAATGACCTTATGTTGCACAGTTAAAAGATGTTAAAGAATTAAGTATCACTAAACCAGATGCTTTTCGGATTTCAGTATTGCACACTAATAAAATATAGTTTCAAAACCAATTATTCCCAAGTGTTAAAAGTGGCTGCTCCTTTAAGCACACAAAGTCTGCAGCTGCTTTGTCAGTTTCTAGTGTTCACCATTACACACGAGTATTTCTTAGTTAGAAATGGCTCGACAAAATAAAACTTCTGGTGGCAAAACCCTTTCACAGAATACCCTCTCCATTTTTAATAAGCTGCACAACCAATACACCAAAACAAATGCTTAACACCGCTCGCTTTGAAAGCTGTACGCTCTGAAAATAGTAGCCCCAATCTCACCACTGTTTAAATTCAGACGATCTTTGCTCTACCAGGTTTGGGCACAATACTTCCACAGTTCCTGAGTTAATAACATTTGCCCAGACTGAAGAATGAAGCTGCAACTTAAAAAAAAAAAAAACAACAACCCAACACAAGTAAATAAGACAATACCCCTTCCCAAATTTTAACCATCTTGCACATAAACATACCAAACAACCTTATTTGGTCCTCAATACTTTCAAATGGTTAATTTTGGAGGTAATATTTGTACCAAAGCATTTGGTTTGGATAGCAGTTTTGGGGCCTTAATGTAGCATTTCCCTCATTCCCCCCAAAAAGTGCCTTTATGGTATTTGTAAAAAAAGTTATGCCTCAAAATTTTTTCTTTTAAAGTACCAACACAAGTTATTACAAATGTTTATTGCATTGAGCTGATTCTTTTGAAGTATTAAATATGAACTCCCCCGCTTCTCAGTTTCATAGGTTTTAGTATTCTGTGTGAAAACAAATCTTCCCACGACAAAAGCTAATACTGGCAAAAGGGTGAAGATTTCATCAGTTCATTACTCCACTGAGAGCTGTGTAATTTTTCCACCTCTTTTTCACATTTTCTATAGTGCTTTTCCACATAGAAGTGACGTGAAAATTCCTTTGTCATCAAGTGTTTTCCACATTTTCAATTGACCTCAACATCACGATGATTAGCTCTTCAGTGCTGGGCTATGGTTCTTGTCCCCTTCTTTGTTGTCCTTCATCAGTGAGGCAAACACCTGGAAAAGTAGATTATTTAATGAATATTAAAAAAGACAGTCTTTTAAAAAAGATCAATATTAACCACCACAGTATGAGCATGGAGAATAATTTCTAGAATGAGACTAGAAAGGAAGTGCCCATCGCTCAGAAGTCAGATATGCAGCATCAAGTAGTCAAGACGAGTGCCCCATATACTCATGCACTGACATGTCTGTTTTGTTATATATATCCAAAAAACTCACCTGTGCCCACTTTTTGTTACTATTCTGCATCTGAATAGCTGCAATACAACTAAAAAGCTTTTCTGATGTAATGTCTTCTGGAAGTTTTGTTAGAAACTGTGCTATATGAATAAAGTCCATCTGTAGGAGAATATCTTCATATAACCGAAGGATTCCTAATCCTGTCCTAAATAAAAATTCTTCTCCATCTCTACAGAAAACATCCCAGACACGACAGGCCAGATCAAGTGGCAATGACTTGCTGTAGAGTGTAAAAATCCTACAATTGAGGGGAAAAAAAGGAAGAGTTATAATTTTAACCTATTTCAGAAAGATGAAAATACAATCTCCTTTGAGTGAGCAGATGACAAGTTATTTCAGATATTCTTATTTCTTCCATATTTCAAAGATCCACAAGTCTCCAGTTTTTGGAATCATAACTCCTACTCTGAAACCCAACTCTTTTCACGCTACAGAATATCCTCCATTTGAAAGTCACCACCTTTAGGAAGCTCTGGCTAGAGAAGTTACAAACAAGCTTCTTAACACTCAAGTAAGGTATACTACACAAATAAGAACTTAAGCAACAAGGGTAGTAACTGTATCACTTAACCCTTCCCATTATTTAAGCCACACAGTTTAAGAGCTCTGTTCATCCTTTGTTTTCTAAACTAAATCTAAAGCCACAAATCATCTCAATAGAAGGCTACATCCCATTAATGTACTAATGAGAATTCAATAACTACATTTCCATGACACATTTTGAATTTCTATTGACGTTAAAAATTGCCAAAATCTAGAGACAGTCAGTGTTCTATTCCTACTGAGCAAAGTCCAATTGCATTTCTTATTGCAAAGTTTATCTTTAAAAAGCATTCATTATACATGGGCAGAGAGTTCAGTCTGCTTTATGTACCATATTATAGAACCCCTCGCATAAATTTGTAGTGGTTCCTTTGATACAAAGCAGAGAGTTCTCTGTTTCACCATTATTCCTACTGGAAAGTGGTCCAGGAACTTCAGAACACTTCTTACCACAGACCACCATAACCTCTTCTACTCTCCCTTTATAAGAGGAGCTTTCTCTATCCCAAGGCCATCTCTGGAACATGTGCAGGAACAACCACCTTATTTCTCACAGGTAACTGAAGCAGAATATTCTAGTACAGCAGCACTATTTCCACAACATATATTCCTCTCTCGATTTGCCTGAACTCTCAGGACTGCAGCACACTCCTGACTCAATGCTGCTATTGTATAACCTGCTCCTGCTGAGACTTACTGCTTACTGATAAGCTGCATCTTATAGCTGAAGTTCAGATGACGGTACATTTTTATATTATTTAACTCTACCCAATTCAGTTTATTAGGAACTTCTAACTCATATAATAATCCTATATGAAGCACATCCTTATCCACAGACATGCACTTAGGAATAGACATTCTGTATTTGGCAGCACTACACACACTTCAAGGATGCCTGCATTACTGCCTTCCATTACAGGCACATAAGGTAGTTTGGTACTCTCTGCTTTAGAACATTCATTACTTCAAAATGTTCACTGTTTCCAAGTTTATTCCTTCCCAAACCAGGACCTAAATTCCATCCTCGTTCTGCTTTAAAGTCTGTATTCATACTTTCTTCAGCTGATTATGCTCATTTAATCAAGTCACTCACAATCAGTCATAAGACAACTAAGGTGTAGTAGCCTCCTCTCCCCTACTTATGTTACACACAGCTGATTCTTACCTGCAGCAATAAGAAAATGAGACACACAGGACTCCTGTGTGTCTCATTTTCTATCTGAATAGATGTAACTCCTAATCCCAGTTCATAAAGTTTGAATCCTGCCAGAGGAACTGCAGTTGCACAAAAACAGTTCACCACAATTTCACAAGACCTAGAAAGCTGAGGTACAGAAACACCTACTGAACGCTTTTTTATGCTTATTTCTGTTGCTGAAAAACCTATAGCAAAATGGAAAGTGTTCCAACAGTTCTAAGGTTAGGTTCACCATGTTCTCTGAACTCACCAGTCTATCAAATATATGTCTGGAGTGAGACTGTATGATTTGAAATGAAGAAACAATTTGGGGAGATTTTCTTCAAAGAATACTTCAAAGGCTGCAAAGTATTTCAGCATCTGTAGAGACAGTAAAGTACCCCATAAGCAGTCATCAAAGGAATGTCTAGTTGTAAAACAACACAAACTCCACCAGGAATTGAGGATGTCAACACAGCACAACATGACTTCCTAGGATAAGTACAACAAGTAAGTGTTTCCAGAGGAAAAATCAAAACAATAGAACATGTTTTATGGATTAGTACCTGGTATTCTCAATTTTGTAACCACAGGTTGAAGTTCTCCATGTTCAATTGGACAAAAGGAAGTCATCTATAAATCAACTACGCTTCAAGTCAAAAGAATGTTATAGTTTAAAACCAGAAAACTCTGTGCATACCATGCTGTGATCCACGCGGAAAAAGGCCAGCTGGCATGGCTTGTTTAGAAGGTTAGCAAAGGCAATGAAAGCATCTGCCTCTTCCAGATTGAGAATGAGCACAGCAGCAATAAAGGACATCCCTTGTACCTTCAGGTGGGAAAAGCATCGGGCAAATATAGGTCAGTAGGTTCAGTACATCTTATATCTTTGGAAATGCAAATATTTACAGTCTGCAATATATCAAATACCATTGTATAACATTTCCAGATGAACAGAAACAACATGGATAAATTATTTTTATGCATGCAGTCAATTTTATTTCAGCAAGAAATAGAGTATTTCTTCAGATGTCAGTTTTAGATGCTTGATGGAAATTCTGGGAGGTCTCATGATCATGAGTCCTCAGGACTTGGAATGCAAGAAAGTTAAAACCACACAGGCTAGATGCAGAGCTCATAAGAGACAAAACTTGGCCTTAAATTCATTGTTAAGTTATGGGAAGAGCAGACGTGGAGGAAAAACCTCACATATGGGACAGTTTAGACCCAGACAGATATGTTGGAATTGAGACAAAATTCTGTTTCAGAACAGTCAATATATATCTTCCCACTTGCCAAACAGTATTTGTTCACGTACATAAAATAGCTTTTAAGTGGTTAGCTACAATGCAAGTTTACATTTTTCTGTGATTACTCTCTCAAAAACACTTTAGCCTGCAATAAAAGTGAAAAGCATTATTCTTGTAGTTGTTAACTGATAATCTGAATACTCATTATACTAAAATAATTTTACCAGTTTCAACACAGTAATGATCATTCTGCCATTTCTATGTATTTATGCTGCTTGTGCCTCATTAAAAAATGCACTCAGTATTTTAACCAACTAGGGAAGAGTATCGATATGCATGAAAAAACAGTCCAGCAGCTTCCCATTTTTGTGGGATGATATGTGTGGAAATAAGGTTACATTAAATTTACCGCCATATTAACATTAAAAAAATCTATGATCAGAAATATTCAGGCTAGCTGTGTTCCTAACGAACAAATAAAGACCTATCCATGAAAAATTACTTATTTGCCTTTTAAAACTCCACCCTGGGAACAAGCAGTCTCAGAACGTGCAGAGTTTATAATCTCACTTAAAGACTATGGGAGGGTCTCCAAAAATGAGGTCACAGATGACAGAATTCAGGGCTAAAAATATTTGAACATGAAAAACCAACTAGATACTGACACAGAGTCTCTAAATCAGCATGTCTGATTTAGAGAGGAAAATACACCCTGTGCTAAATAATGCTTTGTTGCATGGATCAGACTTAAAACTAAGTTCTTTCTAGCCCAGATGTGTTTAGAGCTTGTGAAAGGTGTTCCTAGCTACCCCCAGGAACAAAGAAAGAAAAAGAAGAAAAAAAGCGTTTGTTTGTTATTTAACTGCTTCTGTAAGCTGACACCATTCATAGAGGTGTTGGGTTTAGTTGGGGTTTTTGACAGGTTTTTTATGGGTTTTGGAGTTTGGGTGTTTCTGTTTGAGGTTTCTTTGGGGGTTTTGGGGTTTTTTGGTTGGTTTTTGGGTTGGTTTGTTTGGGTGTTTTGAACACTAATGTTTGCTGTAAACAATCTTATCTTCAAGAACTAGGATGGAGCAATTAATCTTTGACAACAAGACACCAATAAGGAGTTTCTGGATTTTAAGATGTGTGGTAGTGAAGCAGAGTGTTACTATGGAAATGGCAGCAGTGGGAGCAACACTAGACAGAGGAGGCTACGAGCTCACTGGAAGTCCGTTAGCGGTTTTGGTTTTTTCTGTAGATACCCTGGGTCTGTGAGAACTATAATGCCTCGTGAACACATCTGTTTAAAATTTTCCATGCAAGCCAGATAGTATACTCATCCCTGACATTCAGTACATTTTCAGCTATTTAATTATTTCTAAGAATTACCATCATTGTAACTGCTATGAAATTAGTAAGTGCCAAAGTTGAATTATTTTTTTCCAGCGTTAAAGTTTAGATGACCCACTTATTTAATTTGCTCTAATACATGACACCCTAAGCTTATTTACCGCGTTATAAACATTTTACAGCAAATACTTACATATCCTACATCTGGTCTGTAACATGTATATGCTCCTAAAACACTGTGGAGGAGATCATGATAAGGACCACCCTAATACAAGGGGAGGGAGGAGGGGGAAAAGAAAAAGTTATTTTTCAAAATCACTTTACAACTATGCAAAGGTAACAAGCCAGTATTTTAAGATGCAAGTGAGCCGGTGAATTACTACTTTGTTCACATCTAGAATAATACCAGTTTTGACTCTAAGCATTACCATGTATGCTTATGAGACATCAAAAGAAAAGTAACAGACCAATAATCCTATGAACTAACTCAGTGGAAATAAGTATATAATGGAAAATGAGGCTATCTGGTACACATTCAAGATATCTTTCCTTTTCAGAGACTGGATGTTTTAATTCTTAGTAACACAAGTTACTGTATTACAATAGTGCATGCTTTTATATACATGTGTCTGCATATAGTACATCTATATAAAAACCATAAAGCCTGAAAATGTGTACTAAAACACATCAAGATTCCTGTAGAAGCAGTGAGAATATTCTTACTTTTGCATGTAATTCCATAAACATTAATAGGAACCACATGCAATTTTTCCAGGAGAAAGACCCTTATAGTCCATCATTAAGTGTCCCTACTTTCTTCTCATTAAAAAAATCCAAAAAAAAAATTACTATTTGCTGTAGTATGTAGAAAATAACTAATTTTACTTTGGTGTTTCATACAAACAGCTTCTAAAAAACTATTCTGCATTTAGCCAGCCAGGTTGCTTTTCTTGTTTAACTATTCAGAAGTTTAAAGTCGTAATAACTAAAGTTACAGAAATCTCACCTTCTGGAAAATATACAGGGATGGAAATGTGCGCGATATATCCAACTTAATTAGCTCCAGACTGGCCTCACGATCAGCAACAGATGCTCCTGCATCTGCAAGCAAAACCAACACATTACATAGAGAAATTCTACAGACTTCAGAATAAAACTGCCACAGGCACATAAAGATTTTACGATCTAAGGAAAAAAAATGTTACCTAGTTCTTATTCTTGGAGTGCACTTCTACAGTGCACTCTTCTACCTTGAAAGCTAAAAAAACCTGTCCACCTGGTATATGCCATTAACTCCAAAACATGAGGGAAACGGTCTGTAATTACTACCTGTCTACTCATTCAAGTCATACACCTTTACACCATTCAGGCTTAAAACAAACAGGTTACCTTTTAGTTCTGTATAACATTATCCAGGCCCAGACTAGCCCTGCATTCACTAGAATTTAAACTATGCAGAGCCCAGTCCTCAAACCTGTTTTCTTTCTTGTATTCTACTGTGACGTCAGTTACTGAGTCCGTCCAAGAGCACAGAGTGAGAGCACTACTCTTGATCTAAAAGTGATCCAGTGGGATCTCAGTTTTCAAATTTTTCATTCTTAATCAGCTCATTTGGTGGCTCATTTCAACCAGCAGCATTGAAATATACTATGTATACTAGAGGAAAAAAAGATGAATTATATCAGTATGACAAGAAGCCAGCACCTCTTCACCTGCAAGGTCGAGCTTATTACTTTCAAAGTCATGTATTTCTCATGTCCCACTTTTATGGAAGGTAACTTCACTGAAGTTTCCAGAACTGACCATACAGTTATCTGCAGAAGTTACATTACTTCTGAGCTTCTCGTTAGCTCAATTTGACTCAGATTTTTTGCATCCTTAAGACTGGTGTTCTTCAAATGGCAGGAAAGAAGGCAGCATTCACTCAAGAACCTCCAGAAGAAATTCAGCTGGCCCTTGAGTTATTCCTGTCCTACCCCCTACATAAGGACATGATGCAAATACTAGTAACAGCGATGAGATAAAATACACGTGGCACTTGGGGGAAAGGCTCTTTCAGAGGGCTTAAACCAGCCAAGAGCCATCTGGGAAGCAGAAGATGACAGAAGTTGATGAATAGGCTAAAAAGAACCTGCTCTGCTGAAGCCTGGAAAGCAGCATTTCCTTCCAGTCCTCCTAAAACTATGATAGTTGCATTCAGTAGTGAGTGGAACTGCTGCAGGCTGTGTTAGAGAAATTTGGGAGAAAGAAGGCAATTATTATTACAAAGAGGGAACATAATCTAAAATAAAAAAGTTCAAGAACTGCTGCTTAATCCCTCCCTTCTCTTTCAAAAGGAACAGACATTATATTGGATAATTTGGGATCATTTCATTTGGGACTGTATCCATTCAGAGTGATTCCCAAGGAAGATGAGAATCTACAATATAGAGCACAAGAAACTCTGGGTTTATACAAGAAATTCATTTATGTGAATTCCAAAAGAGGAATTGCTGGGGGTCTTTTGAACAGATCTGACAGACAACACATCTTTTAACAAATGTCTTGCCTTCAAGACACAAAAAGATACTTTTCCTTCTTTACTCATTATCTGCCAAAATAAAGTGATAAAGAGATTTGAACAAGAAAACCCTCAGAACTACTCAAATATGTTAAAGGCAGCTAAAATAATTGGTCTTCCAGACTTTGCTACCAAAGATTAGTATTAAGCACAGTTGGCTTCCTTTTCAACCAGAGATGAAAATCCTATTGCTCTAAGCTTTCCCTTATTACTATATTGCCCAGACCATCTGACACAATCAAAACGGACCCTTCCCCCTGTCATTCTCATCCAGAACTAATACCCTTCCAAAATAAACAAACGACCTAAGCTTTCCCCTGCACTCAGCCCACACCCCCATAAGAAAAAATAGATCACCACCCCACAAACTAAGGAGCACTACAAATGCGTTTTCCAAGGATAAACATATTTACAGTCACGTACACATAGAATTTTTTATAAAGTTTGTCTCAAGGCAAGCTTCAGATGAATCACAGAGGTAGCCTAAGGAAGGCTGAATAATTCAAGTCAAAGTAGCCAGTTGGTCAGGACTGGCTACGGCAAGCGCAAAAAAGAGAGACCAACTCAAAACAATAGTTATTTCATAGCAACTGGTACTGACAGTATCACATAAGACAGTATTTAAAAAAATGTAACTGTTAACAGCACAAGGAGTTAATGTTGACAACAAGGATATATCCACTATTAAAAACATCATCGGTGCTATTTTTAACAGAAAGAATACCCACAGGAGACAGCAATATGTCAGTGACAAAACTCCATTATACATACAAGTGTGTTAACATCCTCACTTAATAGATTTGGGAGGAAAGGCCATCTGGGCAGCCAAGGAAACCCAAGTGGGATCTGAAATGTGTAACAGTACACATTCTTCACTCTCAGTTCCACAATCAGGAAAATAGAGAATGTTTTTTTTTCTTTCCCAAAATTGTGGGACAGATACCAACATAAGAACCATCTAAGCAGACCTAAGCAATAGCACATACTGTAATTTAGCTTCCCATTTCTCCTTTTTGCATTTCACGTAAAGTTTTCATGAGAGCTTAGTCCTTAGTCTGAATTTCGGTAATTCAGAGGAAAAACACATTCATTTGAAAGTGAACTACCACATGCAACATTTTAATGCATCTTTTATTGATACAGTAAATGTTATTAAGCCCTTCAATCACTGACTTG